TATATATATATATATATATATATATATATATATATATATATATATTAATTCAATTGAAACGATCCGTAGCAATGCTATGTTTCTCTCCGCTTGAAAGTAGATTGATGCGAAAACTAAATTCAGGTATGCGCCAGAATCAATCCTTGAATCTTAAATTTATGAAAGTGTTTTATCAAAGCAAATTCAAAGTCAGCCCCGAGCTGCAGACTATCTTGGTACGCCTCTGAGTGCACATTGCAGCTCTCTTAGATGATTCTTATGACGATGTTTCAATGATGTTAGATGAAAAGCATTGGTTATCTTGAAAGCGCGCACAAAAGATTTCATTCAATCATTTTGAAAACATTTTCTTAGTCGCGAACTTAAGAATTCGGTTGTGAAGCGACGATAGGAAATGTTGAGCCATGATAAGAAATGTTTGGCCACGAAAGGAAAAGTTTAGGCACTATGAGAAATGCTTGGCCACGATGAGAAATGCTTGGCCACGATGAGAAATGTTCAGCCACGACAAGAAATGTTTGGCCACGATAAGAAAAGTTTAGCCACGATAAGAAATGTTAAACCACGATAAGAAAAGCTTAGCCAAGATAAGAAAGGTTTAGCAGAAGGATCTGTCAAATCAGACAACACCAAAAACTCGAGAACGCCATTTTCCAATTTAACTTGTTGACATTCCACAAAGTTATTACTATTTCGTGTGAACAAACTGTGTCATGTTTTACATATTTTGTGTTGTGTTCTAAAACATGTATTATTTGGTTCGAAACCAATCATTCAGTAATAATTTTTCTCTAACCCAGTGGTCCCCAACCTTTGCTCTGCGAAGCCCTAATGACCCCCACGTGCATCTTTCAGGAGATCGGCGGCCAAATATTTCACCAGTAGCATTACTCCTAAACACCATTATTTGTTAAACATAGGGTAGGTATAAGGGGACCCCTGCCACAACCCCACCCCCAAATAGAAAGTGATTATACAAAGGGCCTCCCACGAGTCAAAAAAATTTGGGGAACCAAAGGTCTAACATCACCTCGTCAAAAAGGAAATAACGTACTCAGATCTAATTTTGTTTACTTCCCAGTGAGCATTGTCCAGCGACTCTCAATATAATCTGTTATCATTTTTGTAACTGCAAGGAGAGGATATGCATATCGATCAAAAAGTGTTATCTACGGCAACAAACTTTCATAACGACAATGATTTATACATGATAAGTGGAAGGAGGGACACGGGGGGGGGGGGCTGATAAATCTTATCGACTGTAATCATAATCAAGTCTCTTCTCTAGCATTCGGGACGGGATGAACGGAACGGTCTAATCATTCAGGCGTTTCATTGTTGTTTACTTTAGCGGGGTGTATATCTGTTACCATACCAACAGTTAAGATTCAAAGAGCAAAGTAAAAGGAAAATTACTAAAGGGTACTTCTTCTAGACGTGTCATTTTCAGATGAAGCAGCCGGATGTGTTTTAACTAATAGTTCTCTCTGCCAGTAGGTTTTATAGTGCTGATCATTTGTTCACACAATTTCAACCCTCCCCACCCCCCATCCCCCATGTAAGTGTGCCGCATAGAGATGCTCCGAGGTTTGTGCCGGCGACGCCTGCTGGGTATTGTCGCAGGCTGCGCCCCTGCCTGCCTCTTGACCTCTTTTGACCTATATCTTCTTCACCAATCGTCTGAACTCTTGAAAAAAGACTGATGCTGTTCGATCAATACGGCTCACCGCAAGACGAGAAAGAACCTACTCAAAGTTAAGCAGGGAACTT